TTTTGTCTACCTATTTTGTCATTGGTGCTATGATTCACCATGCTCAATTGTATCTGCTCTGATTCTTTACGCAGTATTAGTTATTGTTCTCTCTCTTTCCTGACCGTTTTGAGTAACTTCACAAAGGACTCATTTTCTCATAGTGCTTTTATAACACGGTTGAGGCCTTGAACCTCTTCACATCTATCTCTTTATTCTGTTTCCTTGAAGACTCGAACCCCTGAACAATGTTTATTCTTTCATCATAGGACTTGAACCTATTTTATAATGGGGGTTTTCACTTTAAAGGACTCAAACCTATTTTATAATATTGTACACGTTATAATCTCGTCATGGTTTTAGGACTCTAACCTTTGACCTATTTTATAATGTCGTACCCATTCAAATACCCTACGCCCAATCTTGTTAAACCCATTTTCGTTGTTTTTAGTCATTACTCTGAACAAATCCTTCTTAGAATCATAGCACCATGTTATTGTCTAATTTGATCTTTCTCCTTACACCCCTTACCACAGATAAGCAGAATTTGACATAATAAAAAAAATGATAGTCTGCTTAGCTGTTAGTTCGGCTGTAAACTGCATCCTGTTCGTCTAGACACCAATCTGTTATGATGAGTTTCTGGTATCGAGAAGTTCAGAATGCAAGAGAGTATTCGACTACTCAGCTGGAGAGTTGATTCATCTTTATTTAATGGTTACAGTACTGGATTCAATATGACAGGCGGTACGGGCGTAGCCTCTTGTCATCTGAATGACTTCCATAGAAAATCTCTCAGTTTATATAATGCTCTCCGAGCTACTTCTGTCTAACAGCTGCCAACCATTATTGAGAGTCACTCATCTACTACAATATGATCCCCATACATGGTATCGTGTGGCACCCTAGCCAGGCCAGTCCCTCACGTACCCCTCCTAAGATTAGCAACATTGGCCCCCAATCTATCTTGGCACACCGACCCTCTGTCACTCAACCGTGACATCAATAACACATGGCGTGTCCTTGTCCTCTCTATATGAGATCAATCAACATTAATTAATACTGTATCAAAAGACATATCAAAGCGCAAACCATATGGTATGGCGTATCGCTGCAGAATGCTGTGGTAGCCATGCTGGTTAAGTGTGCCTTCAATTCTAAATAAATCACTGACCGTGTCACCAGCAAAGCACCACCACACCTCCTCCTCCATGCTTCACGGTGGGAACTACACATGCTGAGATCATCCGTTCACCTACTCTGCGTCTCACAGAGACACAGCGGTTGGAACCAAAAATCTCAAATTTGGACTCATCAGACCAAAGGACAGATTTCCACCGGTCTAATGTCCATTGCTCATGTTTCTTGGCCCAAGCAAGTCTCTTCTTCTTATTGGTGTCCTTTAGTAGTGGTTTCTTTGCAGCAATTCGACCATGAAGGCCTGATTCATGCATGAACTTGAACTCTGTGAAGCATTTATTTGGGCTGCAATTTCTGAGGCTGGTAACTCTACTGAACTTATCCTCTGCAGCAGAGGTAACTCTGGGTCTTCCATTCCTGTGGCGGTCCTCATGAGAGCCAGTTTTGTCATAGCGCTTGATGGTTTTTGCGACTGCACTTGAAGAAACTTTCAAAGTTCTTGAAATGTTCCGTATTGACTGACCTTTATGTCTTAAAGTAATGGACTGTTGTTTCTCTTTGCTTATTTGAGCTGTTCTTGCCATAATATGGACTTGGTCTTTTACCAAATAGGGCTATCTTCTGTATACCACCCCTACCTTGTCACAACACAACTGATTTGGCTCAAGCACATTAAGAAGCAAAGAAATTCCACAAATTAACTTAACAAGGCACACCTGTTAATTGAAATGTATTCCAGGTGACTACCTCATGAAGCTGGTTGAGAGAATGCCAAGTGTGCAAAGCTGTCAAGGCATAGGGTGGCTATTTGAAGAATTTGTTCAACACTTTTTTGGTTAGTACATGATTCCATATGTGTTATTTCATAGTTTTGATGTCTTCACTCTTATTCTACAATGTAGAAAATAGTAAAAATTAAGAAAAACCCTTGCATGAGTAGGTGTGTCCAAACTTTTGACTGATACTGTATAACCCTGCAATATCTCCTATACAACTTGATTACCATCCTGTATAAAGAGATATGGTTTAGGGATTATGTTATTTTCTTCAGTTTATGGAGGCATCATAATGACATTATTGCACCTTGTTATGAGGGAGTTGGGTCCGAGCCAATGTCACCTCTACCAACTCTGCTTTTCTTGTGCGCGTGCGTGTTTGTGTGCGCGTGTGCGAAGACAGGCTATTGATCTCGGTGGCATCCACAGACTCATGGCCAGCTCTATAAAGGTGTCACCCAAAGGTCGCTGTGTTAGCTAACTGAGACTAACTAGCTCTGATTGTCATTGCACTTTAAATGCTCCATTATGGCCTTGGTAAAGTAATTAGAGTTTAACGAATGACAGGGGGATAGCACACACTGCAAGGCCCTTTGAACCCCACAGACTTTGGGACACACACACACGCATGCAGTTTAACTGCACCAGCATCTTCTACAGATCTGAGTAGACCAGCAACTGTAGAGTTCAGAAGTGCATCCCACAACTACAAGAGACAAACAGAACTGTTAGTTAACCTCAACCTCCACTCAGTTACCAGAACAGTTAACCAACACTGCTCAGCCGATAGGCTCTAGTACTGTGTGACAATGTGGATTTATGCACACTGTCTAATCTGGCCTGCTGGCTCCCCTACCTCTGCGGAAGCATAGTTCCCGCTCAGCCCAGTCAAAACTGTTCGCTGCTCTGGCACCCCAATGGTGGAACAAGCTCCCTCACGACGCCAGGACAGCGGAGTCACTCACCACCTTCCGGAGACATTTGAAACCCCACCTCTTTAAGGAATACCTGGGATAGGATAAAGTAATCCTTCTACCCCCCCTGTTTCTGTGCACAGAATCATCGTAACACTCACGAGTTAGAGACTCTGTTTGTTTCATTCTGTTAATGCTATCCTTTGTTCATACTTCCCACGTTGTGTCGGAGCTCCGTGTGTCCTGTCTTGTCTGTGTCATTTGAGTTGTGCGGCAGGAGCGTGCGCGCCTTAGTGCACTGCTATATGTTACTGGGTTGCCGTCATTCACCGGTTCCATTAATGTAAGAATTCATGTTTAACGGGTGTCCATTTTAAAGTGTACATGAAAGTGGTCACGTCTGTTTTAGACGGAATGTATGTAATGGGGTAATTATGAGGAAGCCAGTTACATTTGTATACCAGTTATGTGGTTACTTGTCATTGGACATGGGTATGTCCCAGGGAGGGGCTTAGAGGATATAAGCGCCTGTTTTGGTGTTTCTGGGTAGATTGGGTTTGATGATAGTGGGGAGGCTGCTTGAGCCAGGTACACCCCCAACTTGTAATAGCTATGGAAGCTACAGTGTAAACCTGTTTTTAGGCTTAGTGCAATTTATTTTGTTATTCTACCTGTTTGTCTTGTAAATATTAATCGCCGGCTATCACTATTGAACACTGAAAATAAATATGGACACCTTTGCACCAGAACCTTCTGCCCCCTTCTGAATATCTGCCCTTAAGACCGCATCTCTACGTTACCTATTTCACATCCTGTTAGAGAGAAACATAGACCATTGCATACTGTATGTTGCAGTCCAACCAAGGTGTAATACTGTATGTTGAAGAATAAGCTTATTGTGGTCAATAAAAGTTAATGATAACGGTTCAGTACAAGTCATCATAGTAACACTTTTATTTGGATAGTCCATCTGTAGCTGTACTACAGACTATCAGTAACATTTCAACTATCTACTAACCCTAGCTCTAACCCTTATCCTAACCCTAAACTTAACCCTTACCCTTATTCTAAACCTAACCGTAACCTTAGCAAGCAGTTGCTTATCAACAGATAGTTTGTTGATAGTATGACCATCTGAAGAGTATCTACAGATGGAAAGTCCGGACTATCCAAATGAAGTGTGACCGTCATCATAATTCATTTTAACCAAAGATTGTGGATATACTGACAAGATACATGTCTCTCCGCCCTAACAATGGGAGTCGTTGTCCACAAAGTGGCACGGCGGGCTGTCTAGCTCCCTCCTATCCTTTCTTTGGATTGGTGGATACATCTCATTATTGTAATCCTTTTTTAAATATTTGATGAGGGTTGTTGACGGCAACTTTGAGAAAAAACACTTCATATCGGAGTTGTCTTGAGAGGCGGTTGCCTGTATTCAATGGAGAGAGATGCTAATCAAATCGAATCAAATGTTATTATGCCGGATACAACAGGTGTAGACCTTACAGTGAAACGCTTACTTACAAGCCCTTAACCAACAATGCAGTTTTAAGAAAAAAAGTGCTAAGTAAAAAATAGATAAGTAAAGTAAATAATTAAAGAGCTATACTACTAGCTTCATGCCATGAATATGCATGGCCATCTCGAGACCACTCCGATATGAAGTTTTTTTCTCAAAGTTGTCGGGATGTCACATGTCCTACTTGTATCAGTATTGACAACTTAAGCATTATGAAACTTCTATTAGATAAAATGTATGAATAATCCTCACATAGCAAATAAGCCATTCATTTAATTGTTGACCAAATTCGACATTGACCTCCTTACAAAAACTCCTTGCATGGTGGGCGAAACAACGAAAAAATTGAACCTGCTGGAGGCTGGGACAGATGTTCAGCCGAGTTGGTCCTCACTTCCTCTTCCTCTCTGTTCTAACACGTTTTTCAGAAAGCTGGTTCACACTTCAGTGATAATGCATTGCAATTTATATAGGAAACTCACTTTATCCACCGCCAATGTGTAGCACCTACAATATCTGCAAGAAACGCCTCGCATGCGATAATAAAGTTGATCAGCTCTCTATGCACAACATGGCAGCCTTGGTCTGTCTATATTCTCTGGCATCAATGATCTAAATGTATGTTAATGTATAAGCATATTAACAGTTTTTCCCTCGTTGTTGGCACAGATGGATGAGGTCATCGATGACATCATCAGCATGCAGTCGAGCTATGATGACATCCAGCAGTATATTGACCCTCTTCAGATGTCCAACACCGTAAGTATTATACCATACAGTCACTACATACCTATAGAACAGGATTTTCAACCTGGGTGGGATTGTCAAGGATTGAACACTTTTGAACTGGGGGCGGCAGGTAGCTTAGTGGGTAAGAGCTTTGTGCCAGTAACCGAAAGGTCGCTGGTTCTAGTCCCCGAGCCGAATAGGTGAAAAATCTGTCTGTGCCCTTTAAGCAAGGCACTTAACCCTAATTGCTCCTGTAAGTCGCTCTGGATAAGAGCGTCTGCTTAAATGACTAAAATTTTAAATTTAAAAATGTTGAAATGCTTACGCAAGGGATTAGGTGGATTACGTGAATGGGAGTTGATATAGGTAGATAAGACTTATATATTAGGGCAGTTCCCGGTAACTGAGTGACACAGACTCAGATCTTTCACTTTAAAATGCATGTCAAACAAAAACCAATGATTGCAAAGTCAAACAAACCATACAACTCTATGCACAATGACTACTTTTAACAATTTCCACTGAAGATTTCACAAAAACACATTAACGTGAAGAACAGTGCTTATGCAAAGTTTGGTAACAGAATGACGTCACAAACAGCACAAACCGTCATGCTTTGCATCTGCACTGTTATTTAAGAAAATGTGTATTTGTAAAATGCTAAGTGGAAATTGTTAAAAGTGGTCCTTGTGCGTAGAATTGTATGGTTTGTTTAACATTGCAATCATTTATTTTAGTTTGACATACATTTTAATGTGAAATATCTAAGTTTGTGTCGCTCTGTTACCCTTCTCTCAACCCCTCTCTGTCCCTATCTACCTCTCTAACCCCTGTCTTACCCCCCTCTTGTCTATTTTGGTCCACGTCTGCCCCTCCCTGTGTGAGTCAATGGGGTGATTATGCCGACTCATCAGGACTGAGGCTGTGACTGGGCTCTGAGGGGAGAAAGAGACTCCTTGTTCCGTTTAACAGAATCCCTCCATCTTTAGCTACAGGCTCCTCTGTGTGTTTGTGTCCCATCTTAAAACTACTGTTGCTGTTTTGCTACTGTTGTTGTTGCTGCTGTTGCATGAAACTTCCCAAACTTAAAATGGACGATATTTGATGTTGGCCACGGGGCATTGGGCCTGTGGCTGTTTGTTCCTCAGTGTTTAATGAATAACTGCTGATCTATAGTGGCTTCAATCAGCTGTCTGCTGCTGCTGCTGCCTTCCCACCCCAGGGGAAACCTTCAGTTGGCTTAAAGGAATCTAAGTATTTAATTGATTTAAATTATTGACGTGAAGTGCTGCGGTTTCAGAGACCGAGAGAGGGAGAGGCATTCCTAGTCCTAAAAAAGGCAGTGGTCCAAGAGTGTCCATCTTAGAGCAGAAGCACAGAGCTCTGTGTTTAAAGGAATGGCTCCGAATTAACAATTAAACTACCACCAGTTAGAGTTCAACTTGTTTACAAGGCATTCGGAAAGGGAGGAGGAGGGAAGGAGAGGCACAGGAGAGGTGGAGGAGAGGAGAAGGAGGAGGGGAATGGGGGATGAGGGTAATTTGTGAGAGGGAAAAACAGGCTGAAAGTCCAGTTAGGGGAAAGTTCACTTAAGTGGTGTGGAGAGGTAGAACAGAGAGGGATTTGGTGAGACGGAGGTTAGTCTCTGCGGGCTGGAGTGAGTGAGCAAGTAAGTGTTAGCGAGAGAGAGTGTGTAAGAGAGAGAGAGAGCGCACAGGCCCACAGAAGGAAGGATGAAGGAGATGAATAAGACTTATGCCATCGTGGAGATGATAGACGGGGAACAGATCCAACTGGTAAGAATCTGCATTTTTGTGATCTATGTGTGGCTGGAGGTATAAGGTTTGTGTGTTTGTCCGCCCATCTTGGTCAGTATTGAGGCAGGCTAGTTAGGAGAGTTATGCCCCCCTGCAACCCCCTCTGGAATGGTGAGGGCTGGGGCTGGAGCCGGGGCAGGGGGGTCAGCTCTAACTCCCAGCCTCAGGTCTCTGATTAGGGGATGAGCCTTGCCCTCGGGCCCCTGGGGCTGGTGCTGCAGGCTGGAGGCTGAAAGGGAGCAGCTCTTTGATATGGGAGCGGTTGAGCTGAGCCCTACCACTGTGGGCAAACTTCCAGTGAGGGACACGCTCGGCCATAAGAGATAAAACACCATAGGATGTTAACTGTCCACCGTGAAGGTCGCTGCTGGCCTCTCCCCTGTCTCCCTTCTTTGGCCCAGCTCCCTCTCCCTCTCACTGTGTGCACAATGCATCTGAGTGGAATAGAATGTCATTCTCTGGGTGTATCTCTTGGTCCTCATGCTTCAGTTGATTGGCTCTTGATTACTCAGTTGTGTGTGTGATACTCAATCTCATAGTCATTGATTAGATTAAGTTATTTGGCTATTGATTGGCTCTCAGGGAGTTAAGTTGAGCCGTATGGAATTCTGATTTGCATGCAGGGACAGTGGTATAGTGTGTGTATGATAGTGGCTCCGTGCATGGATGCAGCTCTCTGTAGGGAGTATTGATGGTGGTTGCTACCTGATGCCCAGTGTGGCCTATAGTGGGAGTGCTGAATAGATTGATAATACATGTGGCCTCTGAATGTGCTGCTGGCTTACCGTCCTACTGGAATCTCCTTTGATCTGCGCCGGTATATGTCTTCTGTTGTCTCCTCTTGTCTCCTGTCATTGATGGTGTCTCTCTGAGTTTCACCTCTGCTCTGTCTCTGTTCTTGCTTGTGCTCTCGTCTATTCAGCCATGTCTCTGATCTCGGAGTGCTCATCTGTCTCTGGGTCCTGTGCATGTGTTCAGTCTCTGTGGCTCTTGTTGTCTTGTCTCTCTCTGTCATGATGTGCTTGTTTTCATTGGCTTCTATTTTCCGCTCTCATCTGTCTCTGCTGTTCAGTCTCGTTGTCTCCTCTGTCTCTGCCTCTTGTGTGGTCTCTCTCTGCCTCTAGTCTCTGTTTGTGTGTTCTCTCTGTTTCTCTTGTCTCTCTTGCTCTCTGTCTCTCTGTCTCCTCTCTGTCTCTCTGTCTCTGTCTTGTGTGTGTCTCTGTCCTGTCTTGTCTCTGTCTCTGTCTCTTGTCCTCTCTCGTCTGTGTCTCTCCTTTTCTTGTCTTTCTCTGTCCTGTTCTGTCTCTGTTTCTCTCTGTCTCTGTGTTCTCTGTCTCTGTCTCTGTGTTTCTCTCTGTCTCTGTCTCGTTTGTCTCTGTCTGCTCTGTCTCTGTCTCTGTGTGTCTCTGCTTCTCTGTCTCTCTGTCTCTTTGTCTCTGTCTCTCTGTGTCTTCTTCTCTGTGTCTCTGTCTCTGTCTCTCTGTCTCTGTCGTGTGTGTGTGTCTCTGTCTCTCTGTCTCTGTGTGTCTCTCTGTCCTCTGTCTCTCGTCTCGTCTGTTGTGTCTCTCTGTCTCTGTTGTCTCTGTCTCTCTGTGTGTCTCTCTGTGTCTCTGTCTCTGTGTGTGTCTCTCTGTCTCTGTCTCTGTGTGTGTCTCTGTGTGTCTCTCTGTCTCTGTGTGTGTCTCTGTCTGTGTGTCTCTGTCTGTGTCTCTCTGTCTCTGTGTGTGTCTCTCTGTCTCTGTGTGTGTCTCTCTGTCTCTGTGTGTGTGCTCTGTTGAGATGTGTATAATGAGATCCCTCAGGACTAATGTTAGTTACCTTACACATCTCCTCTCTGTTTTGGGAGGTTCTCTCCTCGTTAGCTTTTCTTAAACACTAAGTTTTCCTCCTAATGAATAAAACTCATCTGCTAATCCGTGACCAGGATTATCACGGTAAACTCAGTGGAATCTGGGAGTTTAAGGAAAGCTTGGGAACGCCGCAGAGAGAATACCAAGCATGACTGACCTGGGTCTGAATATGTGTGAGAGAGAGTTTGTTATAAAACTGATCGTTTCGGTCATGCTCTCTCTGTGTGAGCGCGTGCATGTGTGTGATGGGAAACAGCAAGAGCAGTCAGTGGTTTGAGACTAAAGCATTCAGGGTGAGAGGAAAGGGTTACACCTAACTTAACTACATGTCCCTGGTTTGATAAAGGACAGGAAGACCCTACTGATGATGGGATTTCCTTTTGATCAGTGTAGATCTGTTTGCTTGATGAGGTCTCAATCCACATAGCCTGTGGTTTTACTGTGTGTGTGTGTGTGTGTGTGTGACCTGGCTGCTCTTCAGTAGTCTCAGTGATAAGGTATCTAGCGCTCTTATCTGTCAAGCCTCATTAGTATTGTAGAATAGATATTCAACCACATCCTCCAGTTTTTCTATTATTGTAAACCAGCACGTTTCATCACCAATCCCTCATCAGGGAGGTTGACTAGTAGTAGCCCATAAGTTAAACAACCTCTACAGAGGAGGCCGCTAGTCTTCTACACAGAGGCTGGGTTAGAGAGAGGGTCAGAGAATCAAGCCATACAGAGATAAGAGAGAAGGGCTCATAGTCAATGATTGTGTGTCTGTCAGAGCAGAGGCAGTTTTAGAGGCATTATTTCCAGGTGTGATATTGGCCTGTTATCTTCTGCTATCTTCTCTTTACAGCCGGCCACTACACATGTAACACACTTTGTGTTTATAAAGTTTTCTCTGGCTCAGAGGGATAACCAGGATTACGCACAATATGACGCCATAAAACTCTCTCATGAGATACTGACTGCACGTTTCTGTCTATTCTACTCTCCCTTTCCTCTCTCTCGCTCTGTCTACTCTCTCTCTACTCTCTCTCTCCCTCTGTCTACTCTCTCTCTCCCTCTGTCTACTCTACTCTCTCTCTCGCTCTGTCTACTCTCTCTCTACTCTCTCTCTCCCTCTTCTCCTGTCTCTCTCTCCCTCTGTCTCCTCTCTCTTTCTCTGTCTACTCTCTCTCGTTCTCCCTGTCTCCTCTCGCTCTGTCTACTCTCTCTCCCTCTCCCTCTGTTTCCTCCCTCCCTCTCTCTCCCTCTGTCTCCTGTCTCTCTCGCTCTCTCTTTCTCTCTCTCTCTGAGTTAATTGAGGGTGATCTCAGTGGTTTATGGAAAAAGGTGTTTGGCCTCGACCCTTGAGGTTTCCAACCTTGTTTTTAAGATGTTCCTAGTTTTTGTTCATGCAAGGTTTCCTGAATGTTGTTGTGTATCAGGCGATCACCTAACTGCCCTGAAAATAGGGTATCTGGTAAGGATAGTATACTGTATCTAACTATTGTTTCTCCATCTAAAGGATGTGCTTGGTGTCATTGTTTGAACCCGTTCTTCATTGAACTTGATGATAAATTAAGTGACTAGTAATTCATATAACATAATATAATAATATAATATGCCATTTAGCAGACGCTTTTATCCAAAGTGACTTACAGTCATGCGTGCATAAATTTGTTTGTGTATAGGTGGTCCCGGGGATCGAACCCACTACCTTGGCGTTACAAGCGCCGTGCTCTACCAGCTGAGCTACAGAGGACCACCATAACCCCTGCTTAACCCTACAATATTTTCTATGAAAAATGTATTGATACTCTTATTTCCCCTGGATTCCAATCTCACAAAGAGAGTCACCCTAAATATTCTGTTATTGAGATTATAGAATGGAATGCAGGTTGTGGTGCTCATTCTGATTTGTGTGTGTTCTCCCCAGCTCCCTCTGTCCAGCAGTCACCTAGACGTGTACACGGGCCCTGGGATGACCGGTCAATCCATCGCCATGACAAGCAATTCCTGCCCTGCCAACCTGGCCATCAAACGAGAGCTGACGGGTAGGACCAATCACAGCCACACGCACAGCCATGGCAACCAATCAGAGACAAGATTAGACACACAGCAAACAAGCAGAGCAGCTCTGACATTTACACCTTTCAGACACATAGCAACCAATCATAGACAGACCTGCAGGCCAAATGTTTTTCCCACCTGGTTTCCCAGGTCTGAATCAGATGTTGAGTAAAGAAGGGAAACCACCAGACAAAACCAGAAGGATTAGATGGTTCCAAATCCATGGTGACCAGGGATATATTTTTCTCCAGAGTTGGGGGACGATTTAATGTAATTTCTGCTGAGTTAGAATTCAATTTGTAAATTAAGCGATTTAACTCACAATTAGGGGGAAATACTGTATTAAAGCATAAACTAAATATCAATGAATTTGGAGTGAGGTTAAAGTGAGCCTCTAACATGATCATCAAACTCGCTATGACCCCAAACTATCTCTCTCTCTATATATATATATATATATATATATATATATATATATACAGAAATCACACTCACTATACACACTTTGGGGACAGTGTTAGTTCATTGCTTGTTGTTTTTGTCAAGATGCAGAAACCCGGGCGATGGCCAAAGAGAGACAGAAGAAAGACAACCACAACCTGAGTGAGTTTATCCCCCTCCCCCTCTCTTGCTCTCTCTCTCTCTCCCTCTTTCTCCCTCGCAAAAACACAAGAATGAGTGTGCACTTTTTCAACATCCATCATTTTTACTACCTCACACTGTTTAAAGTACACCTGCCTCTCTCTCAAAACACACACACAGTGGTTATTCAGCTGACAGAGGGCAACCCACAGGTAGATGGTTAACCCACAGCTGTCTGCTGCTCTGGCACTAAAGTCTAATTGCCTGTGACACTTGTTTTTTTGTGCGTGTGTGGTGGTAGTAGTACTTTGCGGGGCACAATAAGCTCTAGCCGCCTGGCTCTGTCGGTCTCTCTCTCTCTCTCTCTCTCTCTCACGGTCTCTCTTCTTCTCTGCTCTCAGGTCTCCTCTCTCTCGGTCTCTCTCTCTCTCTCACGGTCTCATCTCTCTCTCTCACGGATCTCTCTCTCTCTCACGGTCTCTCTCTCTCTCACGGTCTCTCTCTCTCTCTCACGGTCTCTCTCTCTCTCTCACGGTCTCTCTCTCTCTCTCTCTCTCTCCAACGCTCTCTCTCTCTCCGCTCGCCTCTCCTCTCACAGTGTCTCTCACGCTCTCTCTCTCACAGTGTCTCTCACGCTCTCTCTCTCACAGTGTCTTCTCTCTCTCTCTCACAGTGTCTTCTCTCTCTCTCTCTGTGTCTTCCTCTCTCTCTCTCTCTCTCTCCCTCTCGCCTTCTCTCTCTCTCTCTCTCTCTCTCTCTCTCTCTCTCTCTCTCTCTCTCGGTCGCTCTCTCTCTCTCTCTCGGTCTCTCTCTCTCGGTCTCTCTAACTTCCAAGTTTCTATCTTTCAAATTCAGATTGCTTTATTGGCATAAAATACAATTTGTAGATATTGCCAAAGCTGTATAGTGGTACAGCATTTCAGTAAATACAGTACAATGCAATGAGGATAATGAAATACAGTTCATTTGAAGTTCATGTAAATACTTCAAGGAATTAATGGTCATGGGATGTCCCCCAGGCTATGGCAATCATATACATATCTGGCAGTAATATTTGTGGTTTCCCCCTCACCCAGAATAATTCCCAGCTTTGTTATTAGTAAATGCACAGAAGTTGGGAATTGATTGAAGAGAAAATATGATCTTATTTGGGAGTATTACTCACAGTAGAGGAAAGGTGCATCTCTGTATCTACCTCTCCTGTCGTGCAGTGACTACAGACGCTCCTCTTTGGGTAGCCATGTCTTTTTGTGTCGTCCTTTTTCTATAGCCAATTGGTGTTCGCTGAGCCTGTATTTGGTCATGATCTGTCTCTGTTTTGTATCTCTGACAGAGTAGAGATATTCTGCCAATGTGTATTCTCTTTTGATTTGAGGGCCAAATAGCAATTTAGTTTATTCTATTTTTGTTTCATTTTCCCAATTTGTCAAATAGGAGGTTTTCATTTCTGTAACAATTTCCCTGTGTGTTTTGGTTGTTTTAGTGTTTTTAACAGCTGACATAAGGGACTCTTTTCAGGGTTCAGCTCTTGGGTTTCTAGTGCTTTGAATTGTAACGATGTTTTGGGGCTTAATTTCAAATGGTGCCAAAATTGTTGTCCTTTTCTTTATATTTACAATTAAAGGGAATTGACCGAGTTCCGCTCTGCGTGCATTATTTGGTACTTTCTTTTGGATATTAGGATAATTCTGCAGAATTCTGTATGTAGATTTTCTATTGGGTTTTTCTTCCAATGCTTATAATCGTAATTACAGGTTGCACCCCAAACCTCGCTTCCATATAGTGCAATTGGTAAAATTACACTATTGAATATTTTGCACCAGATTTGGATAGGAATGTTTGTTTTTATTTTTATAGAGTAAAATGCTTTGCGGGCCTTTTTCTTTTAGTGCATTAACTTCCAGACCAAATCCACCAGAGGCACTGATTTTCAACCATGGTATTTCTTAATTTTAAGGAGTGTCTGCTGCTCTGATTCCTGGCCCTTTCCTGGAAAATCAATTTTTTTGAAAGTTGATATTGATTGCCCAGTTGATGCTGTAGACCAGGGTTCTTCAATTCCGGTCCTGGAGGGCCGAAACACCTCTTTTTCATCCTCTCCTTCTAATCAGGGGCTAATTCAGACCTGGGACACCAGGTGAGTGCAATTAACTACCAGGTAGAAATAAAAAACACAAGTGTTTCGGCCCTCCAGGACCGGAATTGAAGAACCCTGCTGTAGACCTTGCTCTGTTGGTGACAGTAGGACAAGGTCATCTGCGTAGAGCAGGAATCTGACCTCCTCATCATCCGTCTCTCTGTTTATAACGTCTAAGCTTCTCTCTGTCTCTCGCTCTCTCTCGCTCTCTCTAACCTCCAAGCTTCTTTCTCTCTCTGTGTGTGTCTCCCTGTCTCTGTCTGTTTATAACCTCCAAGCTTCTCTCTCTTTCTCTCTCTCTCTGTGTCTCTCTCTGTGTCTCTGTCTTTTTATAACCTCCAAGCTGACGACCACTCATCTACATTGTCTTTATTAGGGCTCTGCTGCAAAGCCATCAATAACAGCCAGAGTCTATAGTCATCTCAGTCTGTGTGCATGCGTTTGTGTTCATGTTATTGGGTTGTTGAAGGTGGACTGCCTCACATGAAATTCCAAATGCCATTGTTGCAACACATTTTCCCATGTTCTCTTCACCTCCTTTCATCGTTCCCTCTTTTCCTATGGTTTAGTTGAGAGGAGGAGGAGGTTCAACATCAATGACCGTATTAAAGAGTTGGGCGGCATAATCCCCAAAACCAACGACCTGTAAGTCACCTCACTTCACCGTGTTAATATTTGTTGTTCTAGGTCTATGTGATATGTAGGCTTTTTGTATACGTGTTAGCAGAATATGTATTCTTATGTGTGCTTCTTCTTGTTTGTGCAACTGAACTATACTCATGAGAAAGAAATGTGATCATTCTAACCCTAACAAGATGTTAAAAAAAACATTGAAAATACATATTTTTGGTTGAGAAGAGATTGAAAAGACGTATTTTCAACATCTTGTGCTCACTGGGAAAGGTGTTCTTCTGTAATGTTCTACAGGGACGTGCGCTGGAATAAGGGCACTATTCTGAGGGCATCCGTAGAGTACATCAAGCGGATGCAGAAGGACATGCAGAGGACCAGAGAGGTAGAGAACAACTTCAAGAGGATGGAGATGGCCAACAAACAACTGTGGCTGCGCATTCAGGTAACACACACATTCATTCATTCATTCATTCATGCAACACACTCGGTCACACGCATACACACATTCAGGTAAAGAGCATGTACAGTATGAGCTCTAGAATGCCGTGCCATGCAGTCAGCTGTATTTAATCATCTCTCCCTCTCTTTCCCCTCCCTCTCTCTCCCCCCTCTCTGTTTCTGTAGGAGTTGGAGATGCAGGCTCGTCTGCACGGCCTCCCCAGCTCCTCTCCCTCTGGGATGGGTTCTGGGGACCTGATGGGTTCCTACGTCAAACAGGAGACCAGCCCTGAGGAGAAGCTCCACCAACAGCAGCAGCAGCAGCAGCAGCAGGCCCAGCACCAGGCTCATGCCCAGGGCCAACAACACCTCCACCACCCTCAGTCCCACCACCTCCAGCCCCAGCAGGGCCAGCCCAGGCAGCTGCCCCCTCTCCCCCCTCACCTCCAGCCCCAGCTACCCCTCCAGTACCCAGCCGTGGGCAGCTCCCAGCCCTTTGACTTTGCCCAGTCGCTGGACTTGTGTGACGGGGTGCCTGGCTACCCGGAGAGCCTGTCAGGGCTAGGGGAGCTCGGCCTTCTGGGTACCCAGGGAAGGAGAGGCGAGCTGGGCTTCCTGATGATGGATGAGCCCCTGTCTCCTCTGGGTGGAGACCCTCTGCTCTCTGCCATGTCCCCTGAGGCCTCGGTCGACTCCAGCCGCAGATCCAGCTTCAGCATAGAGGACACAGATATATTGTAGAGGGAGTGTACGCACACGCACCATGCGCACACACACACCACACACACACACACACACACACACACACACACACACACACACACATATATGGTACGTACAGAACACCCACTGGACATACACCCAGAGCACTGATATACTGTGATATGCTTTTGCTCTGTTCAACAACCCTGCTAGCATACATTTGCACTCCAAACGCCCTCACATACACTGTAAGCACTCGCATAGATACTGTACACACACTGAGACACACTTACACACACACACTCAAAATTCTCATGGATGCACACCCTTAACACTCACATAGATACACATTCAACAGCAATATGAGAAATCCAATCCATATTTTCGGATTGAAATAGTTTTTCCCTACCACTGTAAATATCAGAGCACCTCTGAATGACACACAATCTACACACGAACACTCACACACAGCACAGATAGCTTCTTGTTCACTCTAACACGGAAGGGCCCCTGTTATTTGAAGGGAAATATGTGAGGCACTGCCAAAGGTTTAAGACACAGTTTAACACACACACACACACACACACACACACACCTAGACCCCTTCCTGTGTAAAACACAATGCCATGACCTCTATGGTACTGCCATCTCCTGTGTGACCTATGAACTTTAGCCTTTAGTGTACTGCCAAGTCTACTCCATGACCTCTGACCCCTGTGTGAATGTTGAGGAGAGATGGATTGGCCCTGCATTGTGAGATAGTGTAGCGATGGAAGGGGTTATGTAGCGACTTAGGTTGAAATGTAGCTCCACAGTGTAAGTAATGTCACAGGGTTCTATGTAGCGACTCAGGATCTTCTGTAGCCCAGACCCAAACCTGCCAACGTGCCTTGTGTTAGCCACCTGAAGCCCCGCTCTCTCTGGGTTAGATGGAGAGTGTGGAAAGGGAAGGAGTGGGTTGTGTTTTAGTATGTTGTAGTGCAGGGTTCCCCAACTGGTGGCCTGCGGGATGAATTTTTCCCATGGGTGATTTTATTTGGCCCCCCAAGTTTTCTGAGCAAAAATATTGTTATTGTTTACATAAAAGACTGTAAAAACACCAGAAAAACAGCTCCAAGTGATTTTAGGGTTACTAAAATAAATGTATTCCCACGCATAAAAGTATTCCCACGCATAATAGAGAGATGTGATCGTATACAAATGTAAGCAAGGTTTGAAATGATTATGTTTTGATATCTGTTTGGGCTTCTTGCAGTCAATTTGCATTCTACAAATTATTTGTATTTATGTTCTGGCCCCCTGACCATCCGCTCAAGAAAAAATTGGCCCGCAGCTGAATCTATACTACAACAGGGATCATCAACTATAGTTAGGAGAGAGAGGAGCAGTCATATAGATTGGTCAGTAGTGTCGTAGTCTACACTGTAAAAACACAGCACCAACCTAAAACACACACACAGCAGTGTGCCTTGAGGCTGTGTTCAAATCAACACTTTGAGTGTGACTTCAGTACCTCACCCGGTTTGTTCTTGTAGAACTGCCAGCTTTGGGTCAGCCAGATAAAACTACACACACTCACCAGGTACGAACCAAACCAACCCTGTAGAAACCAAACTACGGCCGTACAATACATAAATAAACTAACAGGTAAACAATTAATTCCAGATTTGGGTGAGGGACTAGGGGCAATGATTTTATTTGATATGGCTTATGATCAGTACAGAAAAAAGGAAGAAACATGATGATGATTTAAAAGGTATTGGTTTGTATTCTTTATTATAGTTTGTTGTTTTATTTTATCTCCCAAAGCACTGGAACCTATATTATTTTCCTGACTTTGTATATGAAAGAATTTATGAAATTAGTTTTATTTCATATGTTTTATGCCACTAAGCCACTTAAATGTATTTTATTTGTATTTGTCTATTTTATTTTAATCCGAAAGTACCTTTTTCCTCTAACAGCCATTTAAATATGAAAGTATTTAAGCCACCAGCGTGACAGTGTAAGACCAGTGGGGAGACATATTCTATACTTCTCTTTGTGTAAAGAACTGTTCAAATTTCACCAGGCTGAGAAAAACATGTACATTTATAGTATGATGTCATTTTTATATTGATTGGGATGTTTTTCTCTTTTTTAACCTATAGACATTGGAGCCAGAGACTATGTTGAGAGGTGATTGTATTTTATTTTATTCTGTTTTAATTGCGCTTTTTGTGAATGTGAAGATGGCCTGTAGTACTGGTGCCAAGCCAAACCCAAATACCACAAGAGAACTGTATTTTCTTTCATGGTCCCTCATTTGACCCCATCTTTGGTTTCCATGGAGATGACTACCTTCTGATGGAACTCAGAACTACCATCGAGGAGATCCGTTGCCATAGTGTTGGCATAGCCTTGAACAGACTTGACTTTCTCTCTCTCTGTCTGCCAGAGTTCGCCTTTATCCTGCTCCAATGTTCGTAATCGATTGTTTTATTTTTGTTTTTATTGTCCAGCCGACACTCCAAAGAGCTTGTCTGCAGATAATGTGGCGTGTTGTCCCCTCTGTGACTGTCCCCCTCCCCCCATGTCGCTGTATGGACTGACTCTGGCCGACTGGGCAGGGCAAACTGGCATTCTGGTTTTGCTTTGGATATAAAATGTTTTACCAAAATCCACCCAGTGGCTCTGAGTGTTTCTTTAGTGTTTGTGAGATATTTATTTTTTTCGTTATTTTAACAGGGAAGTCCCATTTGACACCAATGCCTCATTTACAAGGGAGCCCTGCATGTACACAATCATACAAACATCACATTTAAGAGTTCTGGAGATTACATTCCACAAGTAAGGTGCAAAAAACGAAATGCAGGTCTACTTAACTCAGAGGAGACCAAAGGGATCTCCAGAGTTAGCCATCTCTGACACCGGGTCTGGTAGCTCGTACAGTGGGGGGAAAAAAGTATTTAGTCAGCCACCAATTGTGCAAGTTCTCCCACTTAAAAAGATGAGAGGCCTGTAATTTTCATCATAGGTACATGTCAACTATGACAGACAAAATGAGATTAAAAATCAAGAAAATCACATTGTAGGATTTCTAATGAATTTATTTGCAAATTATGGTGGAAAATAAGTATTTGGTCACCTACAAACAAGCAATATTTCTGGCTCTCACAGACCTGTAACTTCTTCTTTAAGAGGCTCCTCTGTCCTCCACTCGTTACCTGTATTAATGGCACCTGTTTGAACTTGTTATCAGTATAAAAGACACCTGTCCACAACCTCAAACAGTCACACTCCAAACTCCACTATGGCCAAGACCAAAGAGCTGTCAAAGGACACCAGAAACAAAATTGTAGACCTGCACCAGGCTGGGAAGACTGAATCTGCAATAGGTAAGCAGCTTGGTTTGAAGAAATCAACTGTGGGAGCAATTATTAGGAAATGGAAGACATACAAGACCACTGATAATCTCCCTCGATCTGGGGCTCCACGCAAGATCTCACCCCGTGGGGTCAAAATGATCACAAGAACGGTGAGCAAAAATCCCAGAACCACACGGGGGGACCTAGTGAATGACCTGCAGAGAGCTGGGACCAAAGTAACAAAGCCTACCATCAGTAACACACTACGCCGCCAGGGACTCAAATCCTGCAGTGCCAGACGTGTCCCCCTGCTTAAGCCAGTACATGTCCAGGCCCGTCTGAAGTTTGCTAGAGTGCATTTGGATGATCCAGAAGAGGATTGGGAGAATATCATATGGTCAGATGAAACCAAAATATAACTTTTTGGTAAAAACTCAACTCGTCGTGTTTGGAGGACAAAGAATGCTGAGTTGCATCCAAAGAACACCATACCTACTGTGAAGCATGGGGGTGGAAACATCATGCTTTGAGGCTGTTTTTCTGCAAAGGGACCAGGACGACTGATCCGTGTAAAGGAAAGAATGAATGGGGCCATGTGTCGTGAGATTTTGAGTGAAAACCTCCTTCCATCAGCAAGGGCATTGAAGATGAAACGTGGCTGGGTCTTTCAGCATGACAATGATCCCAAACACACCACCCGGGCAACGAAGGAGTGGCTTCGTAATAAGCATTTCAAGGTCCTGGAGTGGCCTAGCCAGTCTCCAGATCTCAACCCCATAGAAAATCTTTGGAGGGAGTTGAAAGTCTGTGTTGCCCAGCAACAGCCCCAAAACATCACTGCTCTAGAGGAGATCTGCATGGAGGAATGGGCCAAAATACCAGCAACCGTGTGTGAAGACTTACAGAAAACGTTTGACCTGTGTCCTTGCCAACAAAGGGTATATAACAAAGTATTGAGAAACTTTTGTTATTGACCAAATACTTATTTTCCACCATAATTTGCAAATAAATTCATTAAAAATCCTACAATGTGATTTTCTGGGGAAAAAAATCTCATTTTGTCTGTCATAGTTGACGTGTACCTATGATGAAAATTACAGGCCTCTCTCATCTTTTTAAGTGGGATCACTTGCACAATTGGTGGCTGACTAAATACTTTTTTCCCCCACTGTATGTCTGTAGGTTTGTGCAAGAGGGCTTTATAAACAAAAATAGTGCATAGTGCAGTCCATCCAATGGACATTATGCATAAATCATCAGATACATTTTAAAGCTTTTTTTGGAAACTAACACATACTCAGTTTTACCTGCATTAAGTACCCATTTCAGTTCAACAAAGGCTTTCTGCAAAGTAAAAAATCATATTGTAATTCTGAAAGAGCCTTGTCAACAGAAGTGGCAAAAGAATACAAAACATTATCATACACATAAAAGTGGAGGTTACAATTTCTTACAGACAAACCAATATTGTGTATATACATAGTAAAAAGTACAGGGCCCAAAATCAATCCTGGGGGACACCTTTAGTAATATCAAGGAAACCTTAACGCCATCTGAAGAAACTCATTGTGTCCTGATGCATGCAGGTGAAGAGTGGTGTGTGGGTGCGTGCATGTATCACAGTGTGATCAGTTTCTCGGGACAACTTAATCATACTGTCATTTTATTTGTCACATGCTTCGTAAA